TTTTCACAATATCTTCATTGGATAAATCTTCTTCTAGATCTGTCTAATTATAATCTTTTAATTTATTTTCTCGAAACAGCTGATTTAGTAGCTACCTGGATTAAATGCTCTAAGTCTATTACATTGACACTGTTGGATGAATTGCTGGATAAATTGGCAGGCTTGAAAGTTTCATTCGAGGATGTTGAATCTGTTCAGGGGATTAAAGCAGCATTTTGTAGGAAAGACGAACTTGTGGATTCCCTAGAGCAAATGAAAGAAAAAGGCACACTCTATTCGTGCTGGAAGATACTCGATAAAAATGACATCAGCTATCTCCCATGGCTACTTACAGATGCATCAGACCAATTCTGTGTCATAGAGTGTCTTCTTTCTTGGATTCATGCCAATGAACAAGAAGATGTATCATTTGTTCCTGATTATTTGAAGCAGGCTTTTGACATAAATCTGAATGGACTTGGGCAATCCGTCTCCAAATACCGTGCTAATCATGTTGAAACAGTTTTAAGGAACTTGACGATTACCAATTTGAGTTACATGCCGCCCAGGTCGATTTTCTATAGCGATGGTACTCAACTACCACTCACCCTAAATAATGTTCAGAAGAGAGAATATTGTCAAACGGATGAAATATGTATCAGTTTCTCACACAAATATGCGATGAAAGGTGATAAAACATCTTTCTTTGTGGTTTCAGTTTTTCCTGACAAAACTCCAACTATTACATATTCTGATGAATTCTTCAAATGTAGCCCATTTATCGTCGCATGGGCCAAATTGGGCACCACAGCATCAAAGATTCCATTATATTGTGAACCGGAGAAAGCCTACAAAATGATCCAAAAGGCCATAAAAGATGATTCCAACCTCTATTGTCAAAATTTGGACCGGGTCACAAGATTTGATATTTTCTACTTCGCGGATCCTACTCCCACTCCGACTTCAAGCCCAAGTCCAACTATTATAACAAATTCGATTACCTCTTGAACTACACCGAAGCATATTGGTCGGAATGCGACGATTATGCTGACCACTACACTAGTAACTACTACTAGTACCCCGACGAGTAAATCAATTCTGGGAACTGACGGACACGTTACAAAGTTTGATTTTTATTATTTTATCTTTCATCTCTACTGTCCTGAACAGTGATCACTACCCCTAACTGAAACAGAGAGACAGGTGTACACATGGTCATTGGGAGAGAACTGGACAATAAGTCTGGTAGAACTAGAACGGAGGTAGTGGGGAGAAGGTAGTATAAGGGGAGACATTGTTATCTTATCATGTTTACTATATAGTTTAGGATGTTTTCATTGTATGTGTTATCTTATATCTTCTTATGTTAGAGGTTAATTTTACTATAAATTCTTCTGTATTTGTTTACCGAAAATGTCAGTTTTCTTAGATCTCCGATCCATACGCGCAGAGAAACTTAGGATATGACACAATTTCAGTGGCGGACCCACACGAACCATACTAATTCGGTACCCAGAGAGATCATTTCACCCAATCAGTGACGATTCATTGGTGATGTGATCTATGGATGAAATTTAACCGACTTAGAAATGGGCAAGCTAGGGTAGAGTTTAAATAAAAACTCACCACCTATTACAGAGTGGTACTGGTATGCCTCATTGAGACATTGCATCCCTTTTCATACTCCGACCCCGACTTAATAGTACTATGTTTACAGTATGCACTGAAGGGGTATCCTAGGAAGTTTCTTGAACTTTTTAACAGGTACCCCTCCTGATTTAACCCTCAATTAATTTTCCTATCATTCGGCTGAGTCGACCGAGGAGATCGCATAGATCCAATGGATCCTTAGTTACTCCCTAGACTATGTGACACTGGGATTCGAACCCTGAACCTTCTGCGCAGAAGGCGGATGCTCTAACCACTAGGCTACCTAGCCCCTTCAAGCCTGATGACTTCTTCCACTTTTATGATGACTACTTCTCCGACGAATAGATCAATTCTGGGAACTGACAGACTCGTTAAAAAGTTAGATTACTATTATTTTTACTTTTCTGGTCACTTCCCCTAGTCACGGGGTAACTTCTGCCGACGCAACAATATTCTTTACGGTTTTTATAACAAGTTATGACACAGGTTTCAATAATTTGCATGATTTATTGTGAAATTGAAATTGCTGACGATATATCAGTAAAAATATTTCACTGTCCACTTTATCAGGCCCTCACAATTGCAAAGTCTGGACACTATATTGCTAACGAGTGGGTGTCAGTGCACCTTCCCTCACAATTGCAAAGGCTGGACACTATATTGCTAACGATTGGGTGTCAGTGCACCGACCATTCAGCCACTGTAACCTTGTAACTATACTGCTGACAATAGTGCACCGACTCCCAAACTGCAGCAATATCAAGTTAAGGGCTACCTCACGAGACGAGTAACTCAAGTTATTCTCAGTTCTTCTCTGCCAGTACCAGTTTGTGTATTGGCAGGGAAGTTTGTTACTAGAACCGTAAAGTAGTCCTGAACTGAAAAAAGCTGTCGGAACATGTCGATAGAATTATTAAACTTGAACCTGAAAATCCAATATCTGTTTTAACAATCTTATCCATAACATATCTAGTACCTGACCATTTAATATCATGCTTTAAAATTTGTTTTAAGAAAATCACCTACAAGAGAAATTTAACGTTGTAAACCAGAAACCTATCTTAATAATAGATGCTTCAATATAACACCAGCACTGTCTATATAAATCAACAGCCAGGCACTGCTGATACGATTAGGTCGTATAAAAGAAAACCGATGTTATCACACCTATATAGTACCCTTAAAGGGAACCCTACTGGTACCCAAATATACCCTGAGGTACCTTTAGGGGTACACATTTGGATCACGTTATCTGATATCTCGTTTGAAGTTCTGGGTGAAAGGGGCCGGAAAAAGAGAACAGAACATCTCTCAAAGGATACTAAGAATCTCCTAAAAGAACGAGGTGAGATTAAAAAGAAACCTAGTACTGCTGAGAATCGTGCTAAGTACTCGCAGATTAACGGTCTTGTTAGGCAGAACTGTAAAAGAGATGATAATGCATGGGCTGTTAGAGTAGCTGAGGAATTGGAAGAGGCTGCCAAGCAGGGTCAACAAAGAGATGTTTGGCAGAAAATAAAATCTCTTACAAACAAGAGAGTAAACAGATCTGCGGCAGTGCGGGATAAGAATGGGACACTTATATCAGATCCCGAAGCTCAGTCACATCGCTGGGCCGAATATTTTGAAGAACTCTTGACGCCAGCAGCAGATGCGGTGGATTTCTCTCTATTGGATGAGGATGAAAAGGTACTTTCTTTTGAATATCTTAGTAATGATGATGAGCCACCGTCCTTGTATGAAATTGAGGAAGCTATCAAGAAGTTGAAGAACTACAAAAGTGCTGGAATTGATGAAATTTCAAATGAGCAGTTAAAGTACGGTTCTCCTGGACTTTTGCCTTGGTTAAAAGATTTGTTTGAAACTGTATGGAAAAGTGAGGATATTCCTAGTGATTGGAGGAAAGGAATCATCACCATCATCCCAAAGAAAGGGGACCTCACATATTGCAACAACAACAGAGGGATAACTCTACGCTCCACCGTATCGAAGTTATTTCAAATCGTGTTGTTAAAAAGACTAAGTAATGGGCTTGAAAAGTTACTTAGAGAAAATCAGTGTGGTTTCAGGAGAAACCGTTCTTGTATAGATCAGCTATACTCCCTTCATTGTATAATACACAATTGTATAGAATTCAACGTCCCTTTGTATATAAACTTTATTGATTTTAAAGCTGCTTTTGATTCAATCAATCGTGACTTTATTTGGAAAGCTTTTGAACATTATGGTCTTCCAACAAAATACATCAATGTTTTCAAAGCGTTCTTTAGAGCAACTGAAAGTGCAGTTCGTGTCAATGGGGAATTGACAAGATGGTTTGATGTCGATTCGGGGACTGGACAAGGTGATGTGCAAGGGCCTCCCATTTTCAACCTTGTACTTAACTGGGGATTAGAACTTGCCGAGAAGTTTAAAAATATATCGCGTGGTTTTACTCTTCAGTACAGACAAAGTTCCAGACAACCGGAAAAATTTGTCATTGATTTGGACTATGCTGATGACATAGCAGGCATGGATGACACTGTCGAGGGACTGCAAGAAACAACGGACAATATTGCGAAATACTGTGGGCTTGGGGGTTTAAAGATGAACGCAAAGAAAACAGAGATCATGGTAATTGGGAAAGATACGTCACAGCACCCACTCCCAGAGAATAGGACCATAGATATTACTGTCGATGGAAACTCTGCAAAGCAGGTCACTCAATTCACTTATTTGGGTGCCAAAATTACATCGGATGGCAAGATCGATAAAGAAATAAGTGTCAGGATTGGAAAAGCAACCGGAGCTTTTAACCAACTCAATAACATTTGGAAGAATAAGAACATAAGCATTAACAACAAAGTGCGAATCTACATCGCAGCTGTTCTTACCATTCTGACCTATGGAAGTGAGATATGGAACACGACTCAGGTGCAGACAAGAAGATTAGAGTCTTTCCATCAGTACTGCTTACGCAGAATCCTGAAAGTGAGGTGGTTCCATCGAGTAAGAAATGAAGATGTTTTAAGAAGGGCTTCAATAACTGCTCTTACTGACATAATAGCAACAAAACGGCTACGTTGGTTTGGACATGTCAGTAGAATGCCTGAAGATCGGTTACCTAACTATCTACTTGAATGGAAACCCAAGCATGGGAAACGATCAAGAGGCAGGCCTAGGAAGAGCTTAAATGATGTATTTATTGAAGATGCTGAGCAGAGATTGGATCGTAATGGACTCACGATTGATTGTATGAGAAGATTGGCTGCAGATCGAAAAGGATGGAGAAATATTACCCGCCGAAGTTGTATAATACAAAGTAATGACGCAGATGACGCAGACTAATCCTTTTGGATGGAGATCTCGCCATGTAACATGTATGTATTTGGATCACCGTTCGTCTTTCATGCGACCTACGATTGTCTGTCCGAATACCTAACAATCCATGTTGACGCTCTTATAATGGCTCTTAATGGTCCACCACTCGAAGGTCCTGTTCTTCAGCTCACACACGTTATCTGTCTCCCCGAAGGACACTGCCTGACACCCCTCCGTATCCCTGCAACGTCTCAAACACTCCTCAAAGTGAGCCACAGTGAGACTTTTGATCGTGTATCCAGGGAACTTCTCCTGCATCAGTCCGCACTGGAGTTGTGAAGGTTCACTGTTGTCACATTCCATGTTCAGACTATGGTATCCAGGAGCTACTGTTGGTCCTGAAACTCCCCCTCGTTTATTCTTCAGGTAGCAGCGGTGGGTGGCCTCTTGGAAGGTGACAGCCTGGCAGTTCTCCGTGTCCCGGCAGTGCTTCACGCACTCTTCAACGTCCGCCACCACCAGGTTCCTCAGGTCACTACCAGCGAAATTTATCCTTTTCCTTAGACACTTCATAGTCTCGGTGACTGGTGTGTTGTCACATTCCATGTTTAAACTGTTGTACCCAATATCAACATTGGGTCCGGAGGCTCCTCCTCGGCGGTTCTTGGCGTAGCATCGTTTGTCAGATACTCTGAAGGAGAAACCCTGGCAACCCTCAGTGTCCTTGCAGATTTTCACGCACGCAGGAACCCCTGTCACTATGGTGTTCCCAATGTCACCTCCACTGAAGTTAATTCCATCTCGGAGGCAGTTTAGGTTGTCGATTTTGCTGTTGTCACACTCCATGTTCATGCTCTGAACCCCAGCTGCCACTACCGGGACATTGGCTCCACCACGTCGGTTCTTCAGGTAACATCTGAGTTGGTCAGATGAGACTGTGAAGACCACTGCTTTGCAGAGCTCTGTATCCCTGCAATGTCTCACACATTCCTCCTTGTCCTCCACGACGAAGTTCCTGAGATCAGCTCCTGGGAAGTTAGTGTCATCTCTGATGCAGCCAAGGTTCTTGACGGCGCTGTTGTCACACTGCAAGTTCATGCTGTTGTGTCCAGCTGCTGCATTAGGTCCTGTGTCACCCCCGGCTTTGTTCCGCAGATAACATCTGTTGTCCGCAGTTCTGAACGTGACGGCTTTGCAACCCTCTGTATCTTTGCAACGTTTCACGCATTCCTTATCGTCAGTGACTATCAGATTTCCCATATGGGCTCCCGGGAAATCGAATCCTTTCCTCATGCAGTTAAGGTTCACTTCATTATTGTCACAGTCCAGGTCCATGCTTTTGTGTCCGGGTGATACTGTGGGGTAGTTTCCACCGTACTTAGATTTGAGGAAGCACTGGTGGTCAGAGCCTCTGAAGGTGATGGACTTACAAGCCTCTGTATCTTTGCAGTGTTGGATGCACTCCTCAGCCCGAGCAACCACCACGCTCCTTAGGTCTGCTCCGGAGAACGATATTCCTTCTCTCATGCAGTCGAAATTAGTTATTCGACTCCTGTCGCATTCCAAATTCATGGCTATATTTTGAGCAGCTGCAACTGGTCCATGACTCCCTCCTCGCCTGTTCTTCAGATGGCAAAGTCCGTCCGTCTCCCTGTAAGATATTGCTTTGCAGTTCTCCGTGTCTCTGCAGAGAAGGGCACAGTGACTTAGACTTTCAGATTTGAGGTTTCTGGTGTCTGCTCCGTAGTAATAGAAACCGGACCTTTGACAGCGCTGATCTACGTCGGATCTATCACATTCCATGTTAGAACTAATCCATCCTGCCTCCACGGTGGGTCCTACACTCCCTCCCTCACTAGACTTGAAGTAACATCTTTTATCTGAGTGTCTGTAGGAGATAGCCTTGCACGACTCCGATAGCTGACAGTCCCTCACGCAGTCTTCTTTCAAGACGTAGATCTTCGAAAACATTTCCGCTCCTGGGAAGTTTTTGTCTTCGTGGCCACACGTGGCAAGGACTTCTTCTGGTGTCATTGGTGCCTTTTCTGTGCAGTCGAAACCACAGTTAACTAGCTTCTTCTCCAATGCGGTGCACTTTTTGACTTCTTTAGCTTTCAGCGGTTTCTTGGCATCTTCACTGTCACATTTATCTATACTTGACTCGAATCCTGTAAAAATGTTATCCTGAAATTTCTGATTCTGAACTAATATGATCATTACATTTATTTTATAATCTTTCCAAAAACCAAACTAATTTTCGTGGTGGCAGTGAATAAGAAATTGATTCCCGTTCAATCTTTTTCTTAGTTGTATTATACTGTACAGTGAAATGTGTAATAAATATTACAAATTTGTGTCCATCAAAATTTGTAGTTAACTAGATTTTTAGTTAACTGCAATTTTAGTCGAACATTTCACTAATATGTTATTTCACTAAATATATTAAATATGTTGATCGAATCTTCATTAAGGTATAATCAATGAATTAATTTTGGTGTGTGAAATATGCTAGAAATAATTTATATTTAAATTTTTACCTTTTTTAAGACATGCTCTGAATGCAGTTTTATCCTTTTCGCTACATACTGCTGGGCCTTTCGGTTCTTTCGGTCCTTTCGCCTTTCCTCCTCCCTTTTTTCCTCCAACAGTCGCCACAAGAATGGTCAGAAATAACACGAGTGCTAGTTTAGTCATCCTGAGATGAAGGTCACGGCTAAAACCGTAATAAAACCTTTAATATACTGAGCTATATTGTGTTCATAGTTAAATCAGAGTCAGTAAGAGTCAATGAAATGCAGGACTAAATCAGTTTCGGAACTAATCGACATTTAGAATTAGTCGAAATAAGTCGGTCCGAAACTCGTTCGAATCAAAATGTCAACAAAAGCAATGATGTATGGGGACTTGCCACCCCATGGCAACATTAAAATATATCGACCCTGTTACATCGTTTCCTGTTAATATAAAACTCCGTTACAAAATGAACTGGGATCTGGCAATACTACACCTTAGTTCGATAAAATATGATAAAGTAATGTATAACTAGACTTATGTAAAAGTCTGAAAGAATATAGAAAACAAAATAATATAATGCTTGAAAGCTAAATAATAAACTGCGAGAGAGTAGTTAACGTGATATAAAACATTAAAGATAATATAGTTCGTGGAATGTTTTGCCTCGTGTGGCGTATACAAAAATAACCGGGTATATCAAACGGGGGAAATAGCAAAACTTTCCCTCATTCAACAATTTTGAAAACTTAAACGAAGTGGGGAGATTAAGTGCTTAACTAAGTTAAAGTATAAAAGTAGTTGTGTTGCTATTTTGACATGGTTTGGATCGGGCGGAGGTCCAGAACCTGGCGAACCGTTATCTGACACACGTAACACAGGGCACTGGGCGTGAATAAGCTACGTTTTAAATAAATTATGGAGAAACAGTAAATTTGAACTAATGCCTACGTCAAACCGCATGAAGCGTCGGAATTATGAAATTCACTCTTTGTCATCTCAGCTCGATAATAACAATGAAAATTTTATGTCGTCGACTCTTTTATTTATGGCACTAAACAGTTCCACCTGTGTTAATTCAATGTCAAACCGCATGAAGCATCGAAATTCAGGAGTTAACACGTCTATATCATTTATATTTGATAAAAACAATGAAAGTTTTACTCTGAAAGTTTTACAATGAAAGTTTTACAGTGAAAGTTTTACTCATATAATATCAAGTATGTTGCCCTATACTACTACTCTGCGCTCTATACTACTACTATGCGCTCTCCTCCGAGCGTGCTGATTCACTAAACACTCTGAGTCTGAGTTACCTGGCTACCCGACTACCATGAGCCTGAATCCTGATGTTCATAAACATAAACATAAACATAAAGATTCGGCCGAATGACAGGCTGAGCGCCGCCCAGTAAACTTTGAGATTTTCTAAAACATCCCGGTCCCCGGTTCCCCTGACAGTTGAAACCAACTTCAATCGAATTATTTTTGAACACTGAGTGAACCCTCATGACATGGGATTAGAATGCTACCCGACGAGTTATCAGCGAACAACTCTTTTGGTCACGTGACACAGCCATATGAGGCCATATGAGGAAGTAGACACAATTTCTCGTTAGGGTTGAGTTAAGGATTGTGTTAGAGTAAGGATCAGAGTAGAGGGTTTGGGTTTTAAATTGTTCTTCATAGCCATTACATTCAAAAAACGTATTGAATTTCGAGCGTGATAATCCAGTGTAAAGTGATTTGTCATCATCCTTACTGATTGTCCCTACTGATCATCCCTACTGATCATCCCTACTGATCATCCCTACTGATCATCCCTACTGATCATCCCTATTTGATTTATTTAAGATATTATGTTCTTTTTATTGTTTGGTTGTATAACTTTCATTTAACTGATTGGGATCTGACACATGTAATTTTGTAATGTTCTTTCTAATTTCTAATTCTAATTCTAATTCTAATTCTAATTTCTAATTCTAATTTCTAATTCTAATTTCTAATTCTAATTTCCCTACTGATCATCCCTACTTTACTGATCGTAATATACTTATAGATGTGAATTAGATGGTGAGGCATGTTTTTGACACGTGACAAAAATTAAGCACTGTTGACCAATCAAACCCCTAGTAAATCAATGTCACGTGTCAAAAACATATGCAGCTGACAGCTCACCTCCCAACCAGAATCCATGCCATGGCCATGCCCATATCTGTATAAGTATACTTAAGGCCCCTTCCAGCCATTGCCACCTGCCACCTAATTTGGCAGGTTTTACATTAAGACTGATAATCAATTTGAAGTCTTAAAATGATTCCTGCAAAATTAACCGAAAACCTGCCTATTTATCGTATTCGTGCAGAGATTTATCTCACGTAATTATTTAATCGAGTTGTTGATTTATAGAAAAGCCTGCAAAATTAACACAAAACCTGCCTCACCTTTCACCTACTCTCGGCAGGTTTGCTCTATTTTGGCAGGTTTTCCGTTAAATATAAAGTCGAATGCTGCAGATTTAACGCAAATCCTGCGTAAGTTGAGATAATTTGAATCAACTTGTGGCGTGATTAAACCTATATTGGCAGGGGTTTTGGATAATTTGAGTGTACAATGTGGAATACTGTAATGATCGTATAACCTTATTACTAGGTAGGGTGTAGGACTGAGACTTGGTTTGTGCAAAGCTACAGAAGTACAGAATGCTACATGCCTACATGGCTCTATAGTTTATACTTTTATACATGCAGTCACTAGTCAGTGGCGAAACGACCGCCCGACACTCCGGCAACCCCTGCTATGCGGAAGGGGATGGGGGGGTGCAGCTGCAGCCTCTTAGGTACGTTTCGCCACTGCATATTATCCACTGTTACCAACACGGGGTCTATGATAAGTTTGAGTATAAAAGTACAGGGTGGGCCAAAAGTCAGTGTGCAAACGTTGGCCTTAATAGCTCAGTCACTGAGTGCCCAATTGAAATACTTCCTTCTGGTATGACTTAGTACCACCACTGGTTCGAGGAATTTGTCAACTCGAAAAATATTCGCGTTCATTTTTTTCAAATGGAGGTTCATTTTCACATTTTTTTGATAGTTTGGATAATCGGATCAAGCTAAATGTTATTGAATTGTGTTTGGCCATTCGAATTACGTTTGCCCTGAAAGAATGAGAGTTCTAGCTTCTCAGATGACCGAGATATGAAGCATAACAAGCTTGTTCATTACGTGTGATCAGGTGATTGGTTTACCTAATCACGTGATAAGGTGACCCCGTTAACTACCCCGTTAAACATTATGGGAATTGTTAAGGGTGCCCAATTAAGGTGTCGTGTCACGGTGTCACATAATCACCCAGTCAATTTGTTAACGAGATACACAAAATGCTTGTTAACTTCGTCATTTCTAATTTGTTTTGCCTCATTTTTTCAGATCATATGCAACATTTGATAATCTACCGTCTCTAAAAAAAATTAGGCGTTCAGGATTTTCAGAGAAAACAATATAGGTGTTTTAATATTGAATGGGCGTGGTCTAAAATATTCGAATTTTCAAATTTTGACGACGGAATCCTCGAACCAGTAAGTACAGTATGCCATCTGCAAAGCAACAGCTCTCAAATATAAAACTCAGCGGAGGTATAAGACCCAACGTTTGCACACTGACTTTTGGCCCACCCTGTATAAAAACCGATTATTGGAAAATAACTGTTTGCTTAACTTCAGTTCTTAGGTTGCCATTTTTAGATTAGATTGCTATGTTCTTAAGTAGTGAGGACAGCACTTTTTCAGTTGCAGTGCCTCTACCTGTTCATTGTTCACATTGTAAGATTTAGTGAATGAAGTGATTCTGAAAGAATCTTCAATTACAATTAATATAATAGTTATAAATATGCAGTTATTTTCAGATTATGAGATATTTGATCGGAAATTTGTCACACGTTAAAGTGACACTTAATAAGTTGGACCTTAATCGAAATTCGTATTCACGAATTGGAAATAGCTCGTACCTACTATAATTTATAGGTTGACCTCCCACATATGCTCTAAGTGGGAGGTCAACCTATAACTCAAATTATTGCTATTTACCAATATTAATTGATCACTGATGTGGCACTTTCAGCGGAAAATTAGTAATAGAAAGCGGACAAACCAGTTTTGGTGAAGGATGTATATCTTATACTCTTATAGTAGTTGTACACTGTACAGCAATGCTAAGGTAATGAGGTAATGCTGTAATGGGACTACTGCGGACCCTCTACCGGCCAAACATATTATCTCATTATTGAAGGGTGTAGACTGTAATATAGATGTAAGAACTTGCTAAATTGGGAGGTGACTGTTTTAAAATGATCAGATGCTTGCTTACTAACTTATTAAGAATGAGAGGTGATAGTGATTTACTTTATCTTGACAGGACAGTTAAGTATTTAAGCTTAAGAAACCACGTGGAGCTAAACGGTGCAAGTGATATAATACTTGAAAATTGACCCCCCCCCCCCCCCCCCCGACAATTGACCAAACAAATATATTTATTATACTAACCCTAACAGTAACCCGATTGGGCGACATCTGTCCGACAGCGACATCTGTCCGACAGCCGAATTGGGGATTTCGGACAGATTTCGCTGTCGGACAGGAGTCGTTTTTGGCGACATCTGTCCGAATTTCGGATCATATTGTAATTTCGGTTCACATTCGTATTTCACAAACTCACGGGTAATTTCGTGACGTTGCTCCCATTGTTCGAATGCTGATTTGATCCATTGAGATCTGATCCATCGATACGTGACTGACTATTTAAGGACAGGATTGTGCTAGCCGTACACTAACAAGCTGTCGATCACATCACAGGACACAGCCTACATGAGTACATATAGGATAGCAGCCGTATGGAGATCAGTTATCGCAATCCACAATGGCAACCAATCTTCAGTAAACAGACCCAGATCTGCAGTAAACAGACCCGAGAGATCTGGAAACGCTATCCATTCCTGCAAACTAAATCCTCTCTACCGACAACAGTCCAATGATGCTCTGGGACTCTGGATGGGACGAACAGACTCGTCGATCATTCCTTTGGGGGACTCCTAAGAACGCAGATCATATGGTGGACGCGGAGCATTGCGTAGTCAACGCCCAACGGTACCTTCAAATCCGCACCTAATCTCTTCCATCAGCTCTTCAC